TGATATAAAAGCATAAGAGCCGCATACCGACTACCTACCGGAATCTGTTTCATTTCTCATACAAAAACTACGTTTTACAGAAAAGACCAGTTGTTCATTTTACGCCTCCATATTGATTCAAATTCAGTTGTAAACATAATAAACATATTTTCTTTTTGAAGTGTAATGCTTTTGAAAATTTTAATGCTACTTTAAACTCGAAGTAACAAATTGAGTATTTCTCAAACTGTTTTACGTATAATCCTGGGAATACACAACAGCGAAGTGCTTTGAGAAAAGAAAATTTCTTTTTAAGACCCAATTACTGAAATATTAGAATTCTTTTGTCAAAGAAAAAAGATACAAAGAAATTCGTTCATATCCTTGTTTGTGATACTGAATTATACTATTATTAAGCGTTATTATATAGTTATGCTTTTCTATGTCCTCAGAAATTCCCATAAATAATATTTATGTTATATTTTTATTATATATGGTAATAAAAAACCCCAGAATGGACAAGGTCGACACAGCCTTTCATCTCTTCAATGGGGCGATAAATGAGTACTAAGCTTGCTTGGGAACTAAACATTGGGGGTTTCGCGTCAGACTGACCACCTGACCGGAACATCTACTCATGCACATCAGTGCCAGAGGTCATAAAAAAGGAAATGGACATAGTAGGTCTTGAGATCCACAAGGGCTCTTGCCTACTGAGTTTAGTTTAGGTTACGTTAATAAAAATATTGTTGTTCACTTTCAATATATATATAAAAAAATTCCATACAAATCTTAAATGAATAAAGAAAAGTAAATTCATTTTTATATGCAGTTTAACGTTTAAAAATTAGTATTTTTATCATTAAGACGATTTTTAATCTTTCTTATAAAAACAAGTTTTATTCTATTATTCCAAATAGGGCTTTTTATTTACTACTTTTTTTTTTAAATTTTCAGAAACAAAATTTTATCTCATCACAAAAAACAAAACAAAACAAAATATTTCATTTGTATAAAATGTCACAAGAAACATTTTTCAAAATAAAGACAAAAACTTACTTCTTAAAGCTGTTAGACGCCGCCGTGTAATTACTTTGTATGAAGTCAAAAAAATTCGAAATATCTTCTCCCAGCTTCTCTGCATCGTGACTTATTTCTTCGTTCATCTCTCGAATTTGATCCTTCATTTTCTGTATGATGTTTTGTCTCACAACTGTAGCATGCTGAAACACGATTGTTATCAAACATTAAAAATCTTTCAATTCATTTAATAAAATATACTTGAGAATAAAATTAATGTTAATGATATTCATACACGTTATCTTGTGATACTCACCTCATTCAAAAGAATATCTGTGTTCCTCTTAATATATTCATCAATGCTTCTATTTTCTGATCTGTAAACTAAAACACATGTGATGTGTAAATATAATTGACTATATAATGATTTGTGGACCACTTTTAAAGTTACATATACGATATATTTCGGCGTATATCACACACACCTATATTTTCAAATTGCATTTTATAACTTTTGGGTACATTCATCGTATAACGCGTATCCTTTATTTACGAAGAAATTTGTAAAGTACATGTGCAATGCTCTCCTATTTTCAAGTCATTTATTCAAAGGATTACACTAGGCTTTTGAGCAACGGTATATTTCTAGAACTAAAAGTCAAAAGCGGAAGAAAAGAGGTATTAGAAGGATGAGAATGTTAGAAAGTGAAAAAACATTCACAAAAGGAAGCCAAATGCATCATGCCGGTCTAAAAATAGTATGTGAGTGGATAATAAAAGCATGAAATGAGACATTAAATCTAACATAATTCAAAAGTGATTTAAAAATGTAGTATTTCTAACAATCTAGATGGAACGAAAGATGATTATTTGCTTACGCATTAAAGTAATAAGTGATGGTGAAGATGAAACAGAATTCGATGATGGGCCTAAAAATATAACGGAAGGCATATATGACAAGCTTTTCATGTTATCCAATAATGAAAGTTCATACGGTATGTACTTTTCATTAAGTAAGAAGGATTTAGATATACAGGGTGATTCTAAAATGATAGGACAAACTTTGAGAGGTGGTACTAACAAAGCAAATACTTTTTGTGTTGGAATATGAGGGAGGAAGTGCCGCGTTGTAGCACAAACAAAAAACAATTTACACATTAACGGAAACATAAAACGTTCGTTAGCATACGAAACATACTTAACGTACGATTCCTAACAGAAAATGTAAAAACAGTTTTAGAAATTGCATCCACCAACAGTCCAACAGTAAAACTCTCCAAATGGGTTGTTGACTGACAGTCCTCGATCCGTCCTCTCCATCAGTACTAGAGATAAATGAGCCATTTTCACACATATGTCGATGTAATCGCTGCAACATTTTGTAATTCGGCATGCGTCTACTAGGAAAGCGTTCCTGATGCAGCTGTAGCCTTTCCATTAGCAGCACTGTACATTGAATATCTAGCCTAAAATGATTTAAGGTATCCGACTACGTTCGGAACCGTGATTTTGCAAAAGCGTGTAAATGGATAATATTTATGATATTTAGTGTCACTTAGATTAGAATACATGTATAAAATTGTTTTAAGGGCATTATGACAAAAAAATTATTTAAATACAATATTTTGGCAAAAAATTAACTTAGAATAATCTTTTTTCCAAATGTTCTCCTTTTGTAAAAAATGCTTCTATTGTATTAATATTTTGCCTGTATATAGCTCAGACCTCTGTACAGAGGCTCAACTAGAATTTTCGAAACGCAAAACTTGGAAGTCGGTTTATCCATGTTTTACGAAAACAGAAAGGAGAAATTTTAAGAAAATACGCCAATAATTATTTCAAATGGGTGTAATTCTGAAAATAATGTGAATTTTTCAAAAATCACACACATAGTTGAGCCTCTGTACAGTGATCTGAGCTATATACAGGCAAAATATTAATACAATAGAAGCATTTTTTTACAAAAAGAGAACATTTGGAAAAAAGGTTATTCTAAGTTAATTTTTTGCCAAAACATTGTATTTAAATAATTTTTTTTGTCATAATGTCCTTAAAACAATTTTATACATGTATTCTAATCTAAGTGACACTAAATATCATGAAAATTATACATTTATGTGCTTTTTTAAAATCATGGTTCCGAACGTAGTCGGATACCTTAACTTCTGTTTTCTATACCTTTACTCTTGAGTTATGTTCTCTGTTTTTGATTGCTTAGCGAGAAAGTTTATGAAAGGAAATAAGAAAATAAAAATCTGTCCAGTTCTTGCACATTTGAATAAATTTTGGAGAGTTAATTTCAACTAGCTAGAAGCAGATTTGACAAAACAGAATATCAGATCGAGCAAAATGGCGTAGTAAAAACCAACAGTTTGGTAAACTGTTCTATATCTTTTCCTTTTCTGTTTAAAAGTGTTAACCCTAGTTTTTTTAACATTTCTAATTTGAAATCTAAAGGTCTTACACAAATAATATAATTTGTAAAGTTCCCATGTCATTTGATTATGGGGCATGTAAGAGATCCTTTGAGTATCAATTTGCCTCTGGTACTCTAGAAAATAGAATCACGGCAATATTTAGCATTCGACGAGAGCTTGAATTAAAAAATAATTCAAGTATCCAAATTTAGTAGCGATGCTGCCGCTAGATGATGCCACCATAAAATAGCTCTCACATTTGGGGACTTACCGTGTCTGCAAAGACTGAGTTGCTAAAATGCAGTTCAGAGTGATCACACTCCATATTAGAATTTTTCCGAAGTAAATGCTTTATCTCTGATTCCTAATTTCACACTTTTTGATATGACTTGTATCTTAATTCACATTGTTATTTTGCTATATTCTTTCTGACATTGTAATATGTCTCTGTACCAAATTTCGTGGCAACATAGTAAATAGTTCATCAGTTTTCACAGATTTTATGTTTGTGACCTTAATTTTGGACATGAGTGTAAAAGAAGCAATACACGTTTATGTTTACCTGAGGTTAAGTATTTATTACCAGCACTTAGTGCTAGATTTGTTACAGATACTCACTACTTTTCGTTAACTCTAAAGTATACCCAGGATCGATCAAATTTTCTTCCATATCTTTCAAAGCGTTTTGGACCAGACTTGCTTCTTTCTGAGCAAGGTCTCTCAGACTTTTTATGGTCACCATACAAGAATCCATTCTAGCATTTGTTTCTTCTTGGCTAGTTTTTGCTTGTGCCTGAAAGGAAAATGCTTTGCTGTTTTAAATTTATTTAAATATTAATTTTATGACATTCTTTGTATTAGACCGATCTTTTACATTAATCATTCTTAAAATAATAGTTATAAGGATATATATAAAGAAGTTGACTAAAATTAAACTCTTGTCAAATACAACAAATGGAACAAATTGAATCAATAAAGTCCATTGCAAACAACGGCCAAAGTCATGAATTACGAGTTTACGATTGTTTTTATCAAAAACAATATTGTGGATACTAGAAATGAACTCAAAAGTCTTCATATGGTATTATATTAAAGTTTGCAGTTGCTCCAAGAATCTCATTCGGAAATGTGTTAGTTTTTCAAATAAAATGAATTATTTCATTTAAAAAAACTTTTTATACAAATAAGTGATATAACATTTGAACAAAGTTAACAAAATGAAGAAAGCTGAGTTACTTAATTAAACTTAGTTACTTCTATTTAAAAGCTGTTTATCAAGAAGAAATATTTAAAAAATAAATTTTTTTAAGCCAATTCCTACTTAGATCAAAAAACAAAAATTGTATTTTATTTACTTTTTATTAAATAATTACAATTATTATGAATATGTATACACATATGACAGAATTAAAATATTAAGTGACAAAAAAGAAAGCGATTTTTCTTGCAATATTTTCCATTTTTCTTTCTATATAGGGTGTTGAACTATTTTTGTTTGTTTGTTACTATTTATTCATTAATTAAATTTAGTTATTCAAATAAAATAGCATAATAAAAAAAACCACATTCTCTGAAATTAGGCCATCCCAGGTGGGATTCGAACCCACGACCTTTGGATTAGAAGTCCAATGCGCTAAAGGTACACAACGAGTGGTTTTCCTTTCTATATATGGTCTTGGACCATTATTTTTTGTTCGTTATTATTTATTCATTAATTAAATAGAATTAATGAATTAATATTTGAAAAAACTGTATTAACATCAAGTGCCGTTCACTACAAGTTTTGAAAAAATGTATTTGAACTTGAGTGGATGAATAAAAAGTATTTTATTATTGATTGAAAATTTGAACAAGATATATATGTATATATATATATAGAGAGAGAGAGAGAGAGAGAGAACTAATAGAGTATAGGAATTGAGAGAAAAAGGAAATAATTCCAATAACTCATAAAAAAAATTTTTAATTTGATTACATTTTTTTAAATATTCTCTTATATTGCACAAGAAATATCATCAATAATTAGATTTTACTAAGAACGGGAAGAGCAAAATTTAAAGTTATAATTTTTATTTAATGGCAAATTCACCGAAATCAATCCCCTCCCACAATTAATGATTCTTAATCTCTAAATTTGATGAAACGAATATGATTGAAATCATTTTAGACATTTTTAAGAAAAAGAAGGGGTAAAACATAAGGTAGTTTAAAGTGATGGGAAAACTTAATTACCATTTTATATTTTCCATGTCAATGTTTTTAATTTAAAGAAATTGAATTCCGTGAAAGAAGTCAACAGAGTACGTATATCATGTACTTGTTTATTGTATTTAATAATACATTTATTTGCACATGTATGCCTGTTGAAGTGTCCCAAAACTTTTTAACGGAACTCTGGAAAGTAAGACGTTTTATATAAACAATTTTAATATAAATTAAAAAGTACATTTTATTTCAATGTATTTTTATAAGAGTTTATTTGACTCTATTTTTAATATTAAAAGCAATCAAATTAACTCTTATTAAAAAAGTCTATCAGACTCTTAGCATTAAAAACAGGCCCACATCTATTATTAATAGAGTTTTAAATTATTTTTTCAAAATGACAAATATTTTAACTTTATTCCAATTCTAAGATTACTTTTAAAATTTGAAATTACAATGAAAAAAAAGGAAATATTTCAAAGAAATGGCTTTATTTGCATTATAATAACAAAAATAGCTTACCATAAGTTTCTATTAAATATATTATAATCACTATAATTAGTCGCTACAAGAGAGAATATATCTAAAAAAATTTTTAGGACAATAAATATTGTTTTACTTACGATTAAACTCTTCTTACGACTCTGTGACATTTTAAATACAATTATAATAACTTTTTAAACCAGGCAAAAACAGAAGAAAATTACATAAAATATAAATTAGTTAGTGTTCTTATTGGGCAAGTAGTTGAAATCAATATTTTCTCCTAAGACTCAACAAAATATACCCAAGTAGAATACAGCCAAAACAACGAATCGAAAGATGTTAACATGAATACGATAAGTGTAAGAACCGTTTCCATGGCAACGTCGTGAATCGCTTTCGCGGATCCAGTTAAATTCTTATTCAGTAAGAAGTATAGCAGTAAAAAAAGAATTTTGTTTCAGTACAATTTTTTTTTTCAAAATCTAATATCCAATACTTAAACACAAATTAATTTATCATTCAAAAATTTTAATAAATGCTACAAAAATAATAACATTTGATAAATCGTATATTTTTTTAGCTGTAAAAATGTTTATATAATCAAATAGAGAACAATAATTTTTTACTTAAAAAATTTCGAGCTTTCAACCTTTCATTTTTAACGAATATCTCAGAGGTGTAAAATTCTAACTGTACCACTACCAGGAACAAAAAATATTTTAAGATATTAAGAGAAATGCGAAGAGTGCATTATATTTTAATAGTAAATTCTAAGTAAAAAATAATAATGCAAAATATCGCAATAAAACGAAAAATTAAATCGCTGCATAAAAATAACGCAAATATTTTGTTTTGTTTTTACTCATGATATGAAATTCGCTCTGGCGAAACTTAAAAATTCTATTGTTTCTTTTGCGTAAATAAAAATTAATTACCAAAATGAATCAAAATTATATAATAAATAATCCTTAACAATACAGCTTAATTTTTGAATAAATATCACTCAGTATACGAGATTCTTAGAACAAGTTTGATTTTCAAAAGAATTCTACTTCTATTTTAATTCTATTTGTACTGAAAAAAATATTATTTCAAGAATATTTTCAACTGATATGAATTCCTTTGGAATCAACATTTTTGTTTAAGGTATCCGACTACGTTCAGGACTGTGATTTTAAAAAGTGCATAAATGGATAATTTTCTTGATATTTAGTGTCACTTAGATTAGAATAGATGTATAAAATTATTTTAAGGACATTGTGACAAAAAGAATGATTTAAATACATTATTTTGGTAAAAAATTAACTTAGAATGACCAATTTTCAAAATGTTCTCCTTTTGTGAAAAATGCTTTTATTATAATAATATTTTGCCTGTATATAGCTCAGACCTCTGTGCAGAGGCTCAACTATGATTTTTGAAAAATTCACATTATTTTCAGAGTTACAACCCATTGAAATAATTATGGGCGTTTTTTTCTTAAAATTTCTCCCCTCTGTTGTCGTAAAACACGGATAACACACTTCTAAGTTATATATTTCAAACATTCTAGTTGAGACTCTGTACAGAGGTCTGAGCTATAGACAGGCAAAATATTATTATAATAGAAGCATTTTTCACAAAAGGAGAATATTTTGAAAATGGATCATTCTATGTTCATTTTTTGTCAAAATATTGTACTTAAATAATTTTTGATTGTAATACTATTCTTAAAACAATTTTATATACATTTTTTAATCTAAGGGACACTAAATATCATAAATATTATACATTTATACGCTTTTGCAAGTTCACGGTTCCGAACGTAGTCTGATACTTTAAATATTTTTCTCCCCTCGAAAATAAATTTATTTTTGCATAAATGTTTTTTAGCGAAATTCTTTTCTGTGTTTGCATAAATATTTAAGCAGTGAATAATAGCATTTGTAATTATATGGAAACTTTAATTCACCCAGTATTTCTTGCGCAGGGTATGTCATACTCACCGTCTAACTTTTTACAACATACCTTCTAAACAGTTTTTGGAAAATGGATAATTTCTGGTGTAGCTGACTTTAAGGTCATATCCTTTGAACTTGTAGGCCCTAGCTTGTAGGCGAAATCTAAATATGTAGTTTTGGATACCGCCTCATCGGGTATGTCATACCCTGCTCGAGAATTACCGTTACAGTTCTGAATTCATGAGCACGTTTTAAATCTTCCATATGCTATGGCGTATTATTTTAATTATGATGAAATGTGATATTTAAGTAACTTAATAGATACAGTATTTAATAGATGTAGTACAACAGTATTTTCGGATGAAGAAATTCTCTTCGCTGTTATGATGAGGAAGAATCAAATGATGAAGAGTATAACAGCTAATATGACTCCTCCACTTAAATCGATCCAGATTTAGAAGAGGGAGACACAGTTGAAAATAAATTTTTTATATGCAGAGACACAAAAACATTTGGGAAGAACGTAATTTTAAAGCAGATTACTGGTACACATTTCATCCACTTTCAGATGAACTTTTGAAGATAAAAATCGCTGAAACAATAAGAGAAAATAAAAAAAGAAAATTCAAAATTTTTGAATTTAAAGAATAGAGAAAATAACTCCTAAATGTTTAGTTTTAGAAAGATACAGATTAAAAACAATTAAGATCCAGTGAAAACATCGCACTCACTCACGACGAGGTTAAAGAAGTGTATCAACAATGTACTAAATGCCCTTATAAAAAGGAAAGAAAAACTAAATTTACGTGTGAAAAGTGTAAAAAACATATTGTATTTCTTACTTTTCCTTCTTTTTAACTTTTGTACACAAATTTTACGGTATAAACAGAGTGTAAACACCCTTGAGTATGAGATACTCTGCGCGAGAACTTTCGGTCGCTTTTTTTGCGCGAGTGATGCCAAGTTAACTGGAGTTTTTGGGGTTCGATTTCCTTAGATAAGCGAGATTTTAATAAACACTGCAAATGTAATGTTCCAAATATGTGCTTTTTTTTTCTTTCTTTTTGTAAATTTATGTACATGTGATACCTATAATCTTGTACATTTTGTGTAAAACTAAAGAAAAACAATTCTAATTAATAAAAGTACTTGGAATATATTTTTTTAAATATTTTATTGATTTAAACCATAATTTATTCTTACAATTACGTAGAAATTTTTACAATAAATACTTAAGAGATTTGAAATCATATTGTTTAAGGAACTTTAGTACTTGATTTCTCTTTATTTTTTGCATCTTCAATAATTTCGCCGGCTTCATCTTTCAGTACCTTGACACGCTTTTTCTGCAAAGGCATTTTTGCTAACCACGCCTAGAAAAATAATTGAAACAGAAAGTTAAAGCCTTCTACAAATTATCAATTAGGAACCAAACTAAAGTTAAAACTAAAAGCAATTTTTTTTTTTGCTCATGAAGGTGACATGGAAAAATACGGCATACAATGTGAAAGTTTCATTTCATAATTATTGTTTGATTACTCACTAAATCCTATTTAACAATTTTAAGTTATATAATATGGGTTGAGACAACGATCCGGGGGCGTAGCTACCACCATATCAATGATACGGGGCCCGCAAGCTACAGAGACCCCAACATATGTGAGGAAAATTTGCTAATATATTAAGGGGCCCCAAAAAAGGGTGTGCAAGAAATTTTGATATGGGGCCCAATCAGAACTAGCTACGCCAGTGCAACGAACGATAAATAACCATAAATGACAGAAAAGTTTTTGAGTGGCAAAGAAAATTATTTTTTGTTCAGACGTTTGTGGTATTTTGGATGTTTTGTAAACGTATAGTGCCTTCGCCCAGCTTGGGGGTACTCTAAATAGCCGTTGAGCCGCAAGTCTTTTCGTGAGGTTGGTGGAAAGGGAAGAGAGATGGGAGGTTTCTGACCATCCCAGGGTGTTTCCCTCAAAATTAGGGTGGAACCAAGCCAAATGGTACTGTCACCTGCATGGTGC